TGAAGGGTTAAAAATGGGGAAAATAGGAAGTGGGGTTACTGGTTTATACTGGTTTATACTGGTTTATACTGGGCGGGACTGGGATATACTGGGAGGGGGTTAAAGGGGAAAAAACGGGGGAAAAATGGGGCAAAAATGGGGGAAAATGGGTTAAAATGGCAATTAAAGGGTTAAAAATGGGATCAAAAAGGGTTAAAAAAGGGATTTGGGGTTACTGGTCTATACTGGTTTATACTGGGAGGGACTGGGATGGACTGGGAACAAACTGGGAGGGACTGGGAGGGGGTTAAAGGGGAAAAAACGGGGAAAAATGGGGAAAATGGGGGGGAAATGGGGTAAAAATGCAGAAAAAATGGGATTGAAGGGGTTAAAAATGGGAGTTAGGGTTACTGGTTTATACTGGGAGGGACTGGGAACGAACTGGGAGGGATTGGGATATACTGGTTTATACTGGGAGGGGGTTAAAGGGGAAAAAACGGGGGAAACACAGGAAAAAATGAGGAAAAAATGGGAAAAATGGGTTAAAAATGGAATTGAAGGGGTTAAAAATGGGTTCAAAAGGGGTTAAAAATGGGAGTTAGGGTTACTGGTTTATACTGGGAGGGACTGGGATCAAACTGGGAGGGACTGGTTTATACTGGGAGGGGGTTAAAGGGGAAAAAACGGGGGAAAAATGGGGAAAAATGGGTTAAAAATGGCAATTGAAGGGTTAAAAATGGGGAAAATAGGAAGTGGGGTTACTGGTTTATACTGGTTTATACTGGGAGGGACTGGGAGGGACTGGGAACAAACTGGGAGTTAAAGGGGAAAAAACGGGGGAAAAACGTGGGGAAATGGGGGGAAAATGGGAGAGAAAGGGTTAAAAATGGGTTAAAAATGGGATTTGGGGTTACTGGTTTATACTGGGAGGGGGTTAAATGGGAAAAAAATGGGGGGAAAGTGGGGTAAAAATGGTAGAGAAAGGGTTAAAAATGGGGGAAATGGGAGTTAAAGGGTTAAAAAGAGGATTTAAAGGGTTAAAAATGGGAGTTAGGGTTACTGGTTTATACTGGGAGGGGGTTAAAGGGGAAAAAATTGGGGGGAAAGTGGGGTAAAAATGGTAGAGAAAGGGTTAAAAATGGGGGAAATGGGAGTTAAAGGGTTAAAAAGAGGATTTAAAGGGTTAAAAATGGGAGTTAGGGTTACTGGTTTATACTGGGAGGGGGTTAAAGGGGAAAAAATGGGGAAAAAAATGGGGGGAAATTGGAGAGAAAGGGTTAAAAATGGAGGAAGATGGGGGAAAATGTGGGAAAAATGGGAATTGGGGTTACTGGCTTGTACTGGTTTATACTGGGAGGGGGTTAGAGGGGAAAATATGGGGGGAAAATGGGGAAAAATGGTTAAAAATGGGAGAGAAAGAGTTAAAAATGGGGAAAATTGCAAAGAAAGGGTTAAAGATGGGATTTAAAGGGTTAAAATGGGGGAAAATGGGAATTGGGGTTACTGGTTTATACTGGTTTAGACTGGTTTGTACTGGTTTATACTGGTTTTGACTGGTTTATACTGGTTTATACTGGTTTGGACTGGTTTGGACTGGTCTGGACTGGGAAAAAAATTCGGGGGAACTTTGGGCTGAGTTTGAGATGTCCCTGAGGTGTCCCCAGAGTGTCCCCAAAGTGTCCCCAAGGTGTCCTTGATGTCCTCAAGGTGTCCCCAGGGTGTCCCTACAGTGTCCCTGGGGTGTCCTCAATGTCCCCAAAATGTCCCCAAGGTGTCCCCAAGGTGGCCTTGCTGTCCCCAAGGTGTCCCCGATGTCCTCAAGGTGTCACCAAGGTGTCCCCAGGGTGTCTCCAGGGTGTCCCCAAAATGTCCTGGGGGTGTCCCCAGAGTGTCCCCAGGGTGTCCCCGATGTCCCCAAGGTGCCCTTGATGTCCTCAGGATGTCCCCAAAGTGTCCTCGATGTCCCCAAAGTGTCCCCAGGGTGTCCTCGATGTCCTCAAGGTGTCCCCAGGGTGTCCTTGATGTCCCCAAGGTGACCCTGGTGTCCCCAGGGTGTCCTTGATGTCCCCAAAATGTCCTGGGACTGTCCCCAGGGTGTCCTTGATGTCCCCAAAATGTCCTGGGACTGTCCCCAGGGTGTCCTCGATGTCCCCAGAGTGCCCTCGATGTCCCCACGGTGTCCTCGATGTCCTCAAGATGTCCTCAGGATGTCCCTGATGTCCCCAAAATGTCCCGGGGGTGTCCCCAGGGTGTCCCCAAGGTGTCACCATTGTCACCAATGGCTGTGTCACCCTTTCCCAGAGGACACGGTGACAATGACGGTGACATACACCGAGTACCAGCCCCACGTGGGTGACCAGGACTGTCCCCAGGGTGTCCCCAGGGTGTCCCCAAGGTGTCCCCAGGGTGTCCCATCACTGTCACCCATGGGTGTCCCCTCTTGCAGAGGACACGGTGACAATGACGGTGACATACGCCGAGTACCAGCCGCACCTGGGTGACCAGGACTGTCCCCAGGGGGTGTCCCCATTGTCACCCATGGCTGTGTCACCCTTTCCCAGAGGACACGGTGACAATGACGGTGACATACGCCAAGTACCAGCCGCACGTGGGTGACCAGGACTGTCCCCAGGGGTGTCCCCAGGGTGTCCCCAAGGTGTCCCCAAGGTGTCCCCAAGGTGTCCCCATTGTCACCCATGGCTGTGTCACCCTTTCCCAGAGGACACGGTGACAATGACGGTGACATACGCCGAGTACCAGCCGCACATGGGTGACCAGGACTGTCCCCAGACTGTCCCCAAGGTGTCCCCAGGGGTGTCCCAAAGGTGTCCCCAAGGTGTCTCAGGGCTGTCACCATTGTCACCCATGGCTGTCCTGTCACTGTCACCCATGGGTGTCACCCTTTCCCAGAGGACACGGTGACAATGACGGTGACATACGCCGAGTACCAGCCGCACGTGGGTGACCAGGACGCGCTGAAGTTGACGGCGGCCGGGACGGTGCAGGAGACCGGGCAGGTTTTGGCCAAGGAGCTGCGGGTGCGGCTGCACACCCCGGAGCTCACCCTGACGGTACGAGAGACGGGGGGTTTGGGGTGATGGGAGGGGTCCCCGAAATTGTAAAAAAATGTTTGGGGTGATCCGGAAAGAATTTGGGGGATGCTGATAAAATTTGGGGGATCTTGAAAGAATTTGCAGGGTTTGAAAAAGTTTAAGATGGAGAGG